CTTTTCCCTTAGATTGTCAAATTTAAAAAATGACAACATGACAATAGCCATCAGGTGTGAATGAATCAAATTGTACCTATATTTTTTTGTCAAATCAGCAAAAATACTTTTGGTGCACTGCAGAATTTTAGTAATTAGCTTATGTGTGTCATAAGATGAAAAAGATTGAAAATTGCTGCTCTGCACAACACAATTTAAAACTATTATGTAGTTTTTATTAGGGATACATTTCTCAAGATTTTGCCCTTTAAAAATATAATCCTAGGAGTATTTTAAATGCAGTTTGGAAATAGTTTGAAATGTATTCCCTTTAACTTCTATTAATACTTTTAAGGCAATATTATGACTATTCATCTTGTACTAAAAGAGGAAATTAGCTAAGATGGGGGACATACCAGAAAACCCATTAATCCTATATATATATAATAAAAGTGTAATATGCTAAGTGTCTGACCATTTGACCAGTCCACCAGTCACTATAATGTGCACTGACCACCAGGGGGCAGACACTTCGACCGGTAGGTTAGCTTGCTGCTGGGGTCTGGCTGATCAGACTGGGCGAGATGGGCCAGGCACACCCTGGAGCCCTCCCACAGTCCCTCCCAGGCAGCCAACCTCCCGCGGTCTGTCCCCAGCAGGCTGATCCTCATTGGCCCTGCTCGGAACTGGGCAAGACAACCCGATTGCTGGCCAGGCTGAGGGACCCCACCGGTGCACGAATTCATGCACTGGGCCTCTAGTACAAACATAAAGTGAGGAGCCATAGTGATTAGGCCTGCATATTGTCTTTCTGTTTTTTCTTTTTACCCCTGTACCTGACCACACATTTATTCTGTTTGACTTCTAGCCCCATTTTTTCTTTTTACCCCTGTACCTGACCACACATTTATTCTGTTTGACTTCTAGCCCCATTTTTTCTTTTTACCCCTGTACCTGACCACACATTTATTCTGTTTGACTTCTAGCCCCATTTTTTCTTTTTACCCCTGTACCTGACCACACATTTATTCTGTTTGACTTCTAGCCCCATTTTTTCTTTTTACCCCTGTACCTGACCACACATTTATTCTGTTTGACTTCTAGCCCCATTTTTTCTTTTTACCCCTGTACCTGACCACACATTTATTCTGTTTGACTTCTAGCCCCATTTTTTCTTTTTACCCCTGTACCTGACCACACATTTATTCTGTTTGACTTCTAGCCCCATTTTTTCTTTTTACCCCTGTACCTGACCACACATTTATTCTGTTTGACTTCTAGCCCCATTTTTTCTTTTTACCCCTGTACCTGACCACACATTTATTCTGTTTGACTTCTAGCCCCATTTTTTCTTTTTACCCCTGTACCTGACCACACATTTATTCTGTTTGACTTCTAACCCCATACTTAACTGAAATCCCACATAATTATGCAGATTGAAAATGTATTATGATCCAGAAGGCAGCAAATAAGTGGGCAAGACATTCATTCCTTTCACTGGTTTGTCTTTTTTTTAAATATATGTTTTTATGTTTAATCATAAGTTAAAAAAATGAGAAAACACCAAACCTACACATAATGCCAATAACTTTTAAAATCTTTACACCAAATGCTATTAATAATGTTAGTTCTGCCCTGGCCGGGTTTGGCTCAGTGGATAGAGTGTCGGCCTGCGTTTTTTTCCCAGGTTCAATTCCGGTCAAGGGCATGTGCCTTGGTTGCGGGCACATCCCCAGTGGAGGGTGTGCGGGAGGCAGCTGATCGATGTTTCTCTCTCATTGATGTTTCTGACTATCTCTCTCCCTTCCTCTTTGTGAAAAATCAATAAAACATATTTTTAAAAAATGTTAGTTCTTCTAATTTCAGATACATAGTGAAACCTGTGTGACAGAAATTCTTTACAATATTTTCAATTTAACAATTTCAATTAATTGAAATTCCCTTCAATTCAGTTTACAAGTATTGAGTTTTTAGTATATGATACACTATGCAAGGCTGAATTACAATAATAATTATTGAAGTGTTTTCCAAACTATAAATTGCTTTGTATATGCTAGTTATAACTTTTAGATGCTTACTTTTCTACAAAGCGTTTCTCTGTCTTTTTAACCAATTTAAGCAATGACTATTTCTTCTTATTAATACACATTTTAATATTTACACATTAAGAACCAAACTTTCCAACATTTGTTCTGTTGTTATTGTAAACTTAGGACAATTTTCACAGCATCGCTAACTTTTTAAGAAGTTTCTTTGCAAGTCCCTGTCCACCTGTCTTCCCCTCACCCCATACCAGTCTCTTGGTTTCACTTCCTTCTCACTCCCATACTCTACCACCACTATTTCATACATATACTTTGCCTTTACCTTAATCACTTGGGCCATGCTTATAAATGAACTCTTTCCTTTTAAACATGCCAAACAAAACTGTGATCTAGGTAACTTGTTATAAATTTAATTAGGTGTTCACATTAATCAGTTATGGCTAAATTTGCACCTGCAAAACTTCACATATGTATTCTTTTATGTAATTTATTGTCTCTCTAGAAAACATATTAATCAATAGTTTTTGGTCTTTCCTGTTCTTATACTTTCAATTTCTGTTATTGCTTTTCCACGTATAGTAGAAGCAGTGGTTCTCAACCTTCCTAATGCCGAGACCCTTTAATACAGTTCCTCATGTTGTGGTGACCCCCAACCATAAAATAATTTTCGTTGCTACTTCATAACTGTAATTGTGCTACTGTTATGAATCGTAATGTAAATATCTGATATGCTATATGTGTTTTCCGATGGTCGCGACCCACAGATTGAGAACCGCTGATTGTGTTTTGTTTGTGTAAGTCTATTCATCTCAGAACATGATATATACTGAAAACATTGCAGTTCCTTGTTGCAATATTAAATGCAATGAAATATACTTAATTTATTCAGTGATCGGTCATAATTAAATCTAATATTCTGAACCTCCCTTTGTGAGTGAATGTGTGTGTGTGTGTGTGTATAAGTAAGACGTGGGAGGAGAAACTGTTACTGCAATTTTAACATGTTAAAGGAAGTGTTTTTATCCTTATTATATATTTGTCAAAATGATGGCATCTTGCCAGGCAGCTCCCAGAATGTGCTCAAATACATATCTTTGCATAGAAAATACTGTGGTTAAATATACCATATGAATTTTTCACTTCTTTGTCTTAATTGTTTTACTTTTTAGACTATGAGTTTAACTTGCATTTTGAGAAATCTTTTTTTTTAAAAAAACTATCAATTTGCTCAGCTCTGTTCTCATTACAGAGCCTAAGATTAAACAAAGTTTTGTAGGAAAATGCCTTTTCCTGTAGCTATTGAATTTATTTCTAGTAGCATTAAGTAGTGTTTCTTTTCCTCTGCTTTCACAGTAGTCTTTCTACATTATGTGGAAATGTTAAAAAATCCTGATAAGACCAAGCCAGCTGAGTTTCAGACAGGGTCTGTGTTTAAAGAGAACATCACACATCTAGTTGAATAGCCCTGCTGGGTCAATTTTCACTAATTTAATCAGGAGACAGGCCCACTAATGTTACATGCCTTCTTGTGAAGAAAGAGTCTACTAAGGCTTATTATAATGTGGATTATAATTCATTCCTACTTATGTCCTTAAATAGGGTTGTACCGAGGCCATGCTCAGCAGTGGGCTATGCACTAAGTGCAGGAAATGATAAAAGTCACTTGTAAGGCTGGACCTTTCGCACAATATGAATAAGGAATTATTTAGTTGAAAGCATTTATGCCCATAGTGCGTAAATGAATAGGTCTTTGTATGTTAGAAGGTGGATTAATACAAGGGTGAAGGTGTGTATGTTAGTGTGCATAAAAGGCTATTAATTCTATGAAGAGTTTAGGAAGAAAATCCTGAAATAGAATTTCAGTGCCTAGCATAGTACTAGGCACAAAGTGAGACATCAATAATTATTTATTGAATGAATGTACACATGAATAAAAACATCTGTAAAAGGTTTAGGAATGTCCACAGACCTGCTTTTCTTTTTTAAAAGTACCTGTTTGAAACTATATTCAAATGAATCTGAGTTAATTTTTCCTTGGGGCAGTGCTGTAATTTATGATCCTTGAATTCAGAGGTCACTCAATCAAAAGACAGTTGTATGTAGGCTTAATCAGAATCCTGATTTATTGACCCTGCTATTGCTGTACCTCCTTTTCTTTTATTGGTTTTATGGCCCTACGAGAGAAGTGTTTGACTAGAGTTATAACCAAACACACATCTATTTCTCTTCTACGTATCAGTGGGGACAACGTAAGCACTAGGATTATTGCTTAGCAACTTATAATATCTAAGAATACTAGAGGAGCACTAATAGGCTGTAACGAAGATAGAGAATGCCCTAGTTCATGTGGGGGTTTATAATGGGTTGTGGCAGATGGGTAGATATTAATTTGCTATACATCTGTAGCACTACTTTTATTTATTTGTCTTTTAAAATATATTTTATTGATTTTTTTACAGAGAGGAAGGGAGAGGGATAGAGAGTTAGAAACATCGATGAGAGAGACACATCGATCAGCTGCCTCCTGCACACCCCCTACTGGGGATGTGCCTGCAACCAAGGTACATGCCCTTGACTGGAATTGAACCCGGGACCCTTCAGTCCACAGGCCGACGCTCTATCCACTGAGCCAAACCAGTCAGGCTGTAGCACTACTTTTAAAGCAGAAGGAATATATGTCTTGCATTATGCTGGAAAGGTTCGAAGCAGAGAGAATACATTAGAACCTGCACACTTTCAAGAACTGCTCTTACACACTTATTTAAAATCAAAATATAAACAATGTATATTAATGAGCAGTGTTACAAAACAGAATGGATTTCCTTTCCCCAAAAAAAGTGGTCAATTTTTTTCTAAATCCAACCGAGATGTAAAAGGAGAGCATTATACTACCTTCCACACTTCCCCATATTGAAATAAGAGAATTAGCCAAAAAGGAAATAAAAACTTGGGAGGGAGGTTCATAAATACTATCTACTATTGGGTATAAGACATTGTTTAGATTAAATATTGGCTTTTCAAGGGTTTCTTTTTTTAAAAAATATATTTTATTGATTTTTTACAGAGAGGAAGGGAGAGAGATAGATAGTTAGAAACATCGATGGGAGAGAGACATCGATCAGCTGCCTCCTGCACATCTCCCACTGGGGATGTGCCCGCAACCCAGGTACATGCCCTTGACCGGAATCGAACCCCGGACCCCCCAGTCCGAAGGCCGACGCTCTATCCACTGAGCCAAACCGGTTTCGGCTCAAGGGTTTCTTTAGAGACTACTTAATTAGACTTTTCTGACAGTCTCCCAGATTTCCTTATTTTTAGTGATCTTGACAGTGGTCAGGTTTGGATCACCATCCATCCCTGGATCTAAATGGGTGAGGTGCCCTAGCTGGTTTGGCTCAGTGGATGGAGCATCAGCCTGCGGACTGAAGGGTCCCAGGTTCAATTCTGGTCAGGGCACATTACCTCCCAGGAGGAGGTAAGAAGGAGGCAGCCGATTGATGATTCTCTCTCATCATTGATGTTTCTATCTCTCTCTCCCTCTCCCTTCCTCTCTGAAATCAATAAAAATATATTTAAATAAATAAAATAAAATAAAAAATAAATGGGTGAGGTCAGTATTATCTAAACCAAATAGATTAAGAAAGAAATTTGGGCAGACAAAAATATCTATCATTAGAGGTCAGCTGGGTGGCTCAGTTGGTTGGAGCATCATCTGGTACATTGAAAGGGTTGTGGGTTCAATTCTAGTCAGGTCATACCTGGGTTGCAGGTTCAATCCCCAGTTGGGGTGGGTGTGGGAGGCAGCCGATCAATATTTCTCTCTCACCTCAATTGCTAGCTTGATCCCCAGTAGGGGTCATGCAGGAGGCAGCGATTGATGTTTCTCTCTCACATATCCATGTTTCTCTCTCTCCTTCTCCCTTCCTCTCTCCCTAAAATCAATAAACATATCCTGGGGTGAGGATTAATATATATATATTTCGGTGGAGAAGAAGTGATCAACCATGCCACATGCTGCAGAGAAATAGAACATGTGTTAAGGAGTACTATCAAGTATTTTTATAGAATGTCCCTAATTGTGATTGGTCTGAAGGTTTCTTTAAAAATCATGATAAGGTTGGGATTATGGGTTTGGGGGAGGAAGACTACAGAGGCAAAATGCTATTCTCATCACATCCTATCAAGTATATCATATATGCTATTAGCATGACTTTGTACTGTTGATGTTAATTCTTCTCATCTGACTGAGATAGCTTTGTCAGGTTTGTCCACTGTAAAGTTACTCATTTCCGTACCTTACTTTCAGGAAGTTTTGCACAGCTCTTAAAGAGAAGAGCATTATACTCTACCTTTTTGAGGGCACACTTTTTTGAATACTTCTGCACAGGAAGCACATTTGTCTATGTCCCCCATTTACTTATTTATTCAAGTATTTGTTTATATCAGTATGGATTTATGAATATTTCTTTTATACTTGGTTATAATCCAATACTACTTCATTTCTTTGCTCAAATTGTTTCATCTTTGGCCATTAGGAGCTCTTTCAGTTGGCTGCTGTGTCCCTTTGACATACCACAATCTTTGCAGAGTTGTTTGAACCCTTCCTTATTTTCTGGCACTACAAGATGCTCCAGGCTCAACATATATATATTTCCTGCCCCAGTCCTTAAATTAGTCATTTCTCCAATGAGTCCTGATTTGTAAAAATTTGAGAATGATATTAGCAACCAAGATCTGAGCACTAGGTACCCAAGTGTTCTTTTTTTTTCCCCATAGATAGCATTTATAACATTTTTTAAATCCTCACTTGAGGATATATGTTTTTATTGATTTTAGAGAAAGAGGAAGGGAGAGAGAGAGAGAGGGAAAGAGAGAGAGAGAGAGAGAGAGAGAGAGAGAGAGAGAGAGAGAAACATCAACGTAAGAGAGAAACATCGATTCGTTGCCCTCTGTATGTGCCATGACTGGGAATCGAATCCACAACCTGGGTATGTGCTCTGATCAGGAATTGAACCCACATTCTTTTTTAAAAAAAAAATTTTTTTTTATTGATTTCAGAGAGAGGAAGGGAGAAAGAGAGAGATAGAAACATCAATGATGAGAGAGAATCATTGATTAGCTGCCTCCTGCATGACCCTACTGGGGATCGAGCCTGCAACCCAGGCATGTGCCCTTAACTGGAATTGAACCCGGGACCCCTCAGTCCACAGGCCGACACTCTATCCATTGGGCCAAACCAGCTAGGACTGAATCCACATTCTTTATGGTGTATGCCAAACCAGTTAGGGCAGTGGTCGGCAAACTGTAGCTCACGAGCCACATGCGGCTCTTTGGCCCCTTGAGTGTGGCTCTTCCACAAAATACCACGTGTGGGCGTGCATGTACAGGTCGATTGAAACTTCATGGCCCATGCGCAGAAGTCGGTATTTTGTGGAAGAGCCACACTCAAGGGACCAGAGAGCCGCATGTGGCTCGTGAGCCGCAGTTTGCCAACCGCTGAGTTAGGGCAATTGCCAGCATTCTTATGTTTATATTAAAACTAGAGGCCCGGTGCATGAATTCATGCACGGGTGGGGTCCAGCCAGCCCACCCCACCATTAAGGGTGGACTGGCTGGGGTGATGTGCTGTGGGCGGGGCCAGCCAGGGCAAGGGGTCACGGTGGTTTGCCAGCTGGCCTGCCCCCAATGGGGGGGCCACTTGAGGGTGGGGCTGGGCGGGGGAGGGGCTGCAGGCATTCTGGTCATTCCGCTGTTTGGTCAATTTGCATATTATATAGGATACACACACAAAACCTTTTCTGTCGTTTCTAGAGATTTTAGTAGGGAGGGAGTAGTAGGTGCTTGTTCTCAGTTCACTATCTTGGTCTAATATCTCCATAATACATTTTTAAAATGAAAACATGAAAGAGGCTAGAAATATGAAAGTGGGAAGAAATATATTTAAATATACATGTATGGTAGACTCTCTTCACTGTCCACTCGGCAGACATTTCCCTACCTTTTTGCCTGCCAACTAAACCTCAATATTACAGAAGATGGAAATATCTAATATCAGATAACTTGATGTAAACCCTGACATGAAGGAATAAATTATGATCAGTCAAAACTAGTCATAGTAGTCCCTTTTCCCTTTACCAGCTATTGGTCTAGGCCAGGGGACCTCAAACTACCGCCCACGGGCCACATGTGGCCCGCCAAAAACATTTATCTGGCTGCCGCTGCTGCCTGTTGCTTAGCAGCCAACTAGTTTTTTTTTAAACTATAGTCCGGCCCTCCAACGGTCTGAGGGACAGTGAACTGGCCCCGTTTAAAAAGTTTGAGGACCCCTGGTCTAGGCAGTGGTTGGCAAACTGTGGCTCGGAAAACCGCGGCTCGCGAGGCACATGCGGCTCTTTGGCCCCTTGAGTGTGGCTCTTCCACAAAATACCGACTTCTGCGCATGGGCCACGAAGTTTCAACCGCACTGTCCCTGCGCGCCCGCATGCGGTATTTTGTGGAAGAGCCACACTCAAGGGGCCAAAGAGCCGCATGTGGCTCGGGAGCCGCAGTTTGCCAACCATTGGTCTACGGGCAGACATGTAACCTGATTAGGGTCAATGAAATGTAAAGGAAAGTGTTGGAGCAAGGATCTGGGATCTTTTCTTCAAGGATAATAAAACAGAATCTCAAGAGGAGAAATCCTCTTTGTTCTCAACCCTTTTCTCCTGTACAGAAGAGATGTCTGGAGCTGCAATAGCTGTTTTATGATCCTGAGGTATAAGCACAAAAAAATGAATAAAGAATAATGAAACAGGCGAGGTACTTAATGAAAAACACTGAGCTGCTGAATGATTTCTGATTAAGTCAACAATAAATGTCCTTATGGTTATAGTCACTGTTGTCTGACTTTCTGTTACTTTCAACTGTGTTTGAATACACCATTTAAAGAGACATTTTCTCCTATTAATATTCTAAACTAGCATATATTAAAATCTACTTCCAATATTTCTTTTTTTTCCCCAATATTTCTTATGTTTCACTTTTTCCCCCTCAGAATCAAAACTGGAGGAGCAGCCAGGGATCTCAACTGTAAAGGAATCTAAAATTGAAATCTCAAAGAATGTTGTAATTAGAGAACCTGCAAGTGTGGTTTTCAATTTAGATCAAACTGTACTGGATTCAAAGCTAGATCTACCATGGAAGAAAAATCTTTTTGAACGAGTGGAGGCGAGAGCTCAAGCAATGCAGCAGAAAATATTAGATAAGGATAAACTGAAAAAAGAACTAGAAAAACAAGCTGAGAAAAAAATCCCTAAGGAAACTTTGGCCAAAGAGTGGTTTAATATTGACAACATGACTCTGAATACTCGTGCATATTTGCTTGACAAACTTCTACCCACCTTAGTGGCTGGAATGGAACATATGTTAATGCAAGTGGAAAAAAAGAAGCTTTTGTCAGAAACTGATATTCCAACTAAGTTTGATCCAATTATTTATTTGGGGGAATATTTAATGAGAAATAATCCTCTTTATATCAAAGACTCAGGGATGTCTGGTTATCAGAGGGAGATGAAAAATGTCACAGAAAATCTGAAGATACATATTACCAACACTATCTGCAACAGGTACAATTTGTTATATTTTCAGTTAATGATATAGCTCCTTACACGGAAAAGTACATAGAACAATAATATACTCATACAAACTTAAAAGGACTTCAAATAAGGCAGTTCCCTCTATGGAGCATGCCTGAGCCCCTCTCTCTCTCTCTCTCTCTCTCTCTCTCTCTCTCTCTCTCTCTCTCTCCTAAATCCCAAAGGCCCTTCTTTTGTTGTAATTTGTTTCTTGAGCCCATTTCTTCTACAGCTCACTTCTATTTTAAAAAGTATTTATTGAGCTACTACTATGTGCTTCACTATGAGGCACTAATGAAGACTTATGAAGTGTATTTAATCAGTTTCTTGTATTCACAGATTTACTTATCTCACTAGGACCCCAAATGTCCTTCTCTCTGCCGTGGAAAGCAAACCACATGAGTTGAGAGTAGGGACTTTTTCAAATTTTAACTTTTCAGATAAGCAAAATATTCACCTGGTTCAATAGCCAAAACATATAGCTATACAATGAAAAGTTTCCCATTCTTATCCTCCATGTACACATTATTCTACCTCTGCCTTAAATAACTTCTTTTTTTAGTTTTCAATGGATCCTTCCAAAGTCCCTTTATACATACATAAGCAAATGCAAATGTGGATACTTGATTTTCTTTCTTTTATATGAAAATATGTGAATAAGTTACATTTTCCTCTGTTTTTCACCTGCCATTTATCTTTCATCATGAAGATGAGTTTTTTATTTCTACATGGTTGAGTTTGCTTACTTTTATTTTATGGCTTTCATTTTTGAGTCATTGTTGTACTTCAGATATTAAAATAATTATCCTATCTTTTCTTATGAAATTATATTTTAATTTTAAATATTGACCCATTTGGAACTTATCTTAAGGTAATATGTAAGATATGGATCCAACTTTATCATTTTCCAAATGGCTATGTAGTGATCCCAATAATAATTGTTGAATAGTCTATCCTTGCCCCACTGTTTATAATGAACCTTTATTACTAAATTTCTATTTATTTTGTAGTGTATTTTTGGACTTTTCTGTCCTATTCCATTGGTCTATCTCCCTTTTTATGCACCAGCACTCTGCTTTAGTTATTGAGACTTTTGAGTATATTTCAATGAGTCTGACTGCTGGTCCCCATTATTTGTTATTTTTTTCTGATCACTCCTGTCTGTTCTTGTGTGTGTTTACTTTTTAATATGAACTTTAGAATTGATTCATCTACTTAAAAGGGGGGGGGAGGGAGAACACCAAAAAAAACTTTATAGGAATTTTTATTGAAATCTGATTAAATTTATTTATTAACTTGGAAAAAATCGACACCTCTAATAATGACAAGTGTTTCTATTTGAGAACATATCTTTCCATTTGCTCATCATATTTTGTATCCATCAGTGTTGTCTTAAAATTTTTTATAAAGGTTTGCATCTTTTATTAGTTTTAATACTAGTTATTTTATAATTTTTTGTTGCCATTATGAGACTTTTTCTGTTACACTTCCTATCTAGATATACTTTGAATACACAAAAACTATCAATTTCTGAATATTTTTGTACTTTACTACCTCTTTGAGTTCTCTTATTGTTTATAGTAATTTTTAATTGATTCCTTGGATTTTCTAGGGAGGCAACCATACTGTCTGCAAGCAATAAGAGTTTTCTTCTTCCTTTTCAATTTTTGTATTTCTAGCGTCTTTCTCTTGCCTAATTGCATTGGCTATTACCTCCAATATGAGAGTGGTGATATGGGAATACTTGTTTTGCTTATGACTTTAAGTAGAAATGACTCTTGTATTAATTACTATTTCACCAAACACACACACACACATATATATATAACTACCATAACTTGACTCCATTTGATCTGAAAAAGGTATATTTTATCACATTAGGAAAAATTCACCTAATTTCTATCTTATAAAGTGATTTTTAAAAATCAAGAATGATTGTTGATCTTGTCAAATGCCTTTTCAACACCTATGTAGATGATCATTTGATTTTCAGCCTGGATTCATTAATCATGAACTTTATTAGGAGATTTACTAATTTTGAACTATCTTGTAATTCCTAAAACAAATCCTACTTTGTTGCTATATATTTGGTTACATTGAAACATACTTTCTACTGTTAAGACAGAATAAATGTTTAAATAATTACAGATTTTCATAATATTCTTTCTTCCTTCCCTTCCCTTCCCTTCCCTTTCCTTTCTCTTCCTTCCTTCCTTCTCTCTCTCTCTCTCTCTCTCTCTCTCTCTCTCTCTCTCTCTCTCTCTCTCTCTCTCTCTCTCTCTCTCTCTCTCTCTCTCTCTCTCTCTCTCTCTCTCTCTCTCTCTCTCTCTCTCTCTCTCTCTCATCAATAGTCACCTCCAGTGGCAACAAATAAAATATTTTTCTTATGTGGGGGAAGGTTATTTTTAGTATCATTATGAACACATGGATTTTAATATATAGCCCAGGTATTTTAACATATTATACTCATTTTTTCTTTTTGATGCTCAACTTGACCCAATTTTGTGTTTTTCCAACATTGTCTTTGAAAGCTTCATGCATTTTTTAAGGATTCTTAGTTCGTTTGGGTGAAGATCATTCATTGAAGAGCTAGAAATACTCATAAGTATTGTATTGTCATTGTTTCTAGGCTCTTTCATGACTAAAATATAATTTTAAAATATTAATAATTTCATGTCAAATATGTTTCAGGGTTTTTACCTAATTCCTTGATTTTATATTTGTGTATCTTTTTTTTCCCCTCACACTGAAAATCTTGGTTCCTAACAAGATTGACAGAACTACTTGTTTGCTTTATCTTATAATTTATATAAAATAGCTTCAAAATAATAATACCAACAAGCCTACTAATAATAGAATTAGATTTTATATTTATTTTCAGCCTTGTGGGCCAGAGAATATATCCTAGTAAGTATGTGTACGTAAAAAACAAAACCATTAAAAAACTAGAAGAAACCAGGGATTAAATTCCTTTATAACCAGAGAAAAGCCTTTTGAATCATGAAAATATTGATAAATTTGATTACATAAAAATTAAAAGCTTTTTGCTGGAAAATTGAGTCGACTACTCAATTCTGCTTTTATTCTACAAAAATAGCCATACAATATTTAAATGAATAAGCATGGCTGTGTTCTAATAAAGCTTTATTTATGGACCAGGCTGGTGTTGCTCAGTGGTAGAGCATCAGCTGCACAGTTCAGGTCGTGTGTTTGATTCCTGATCAAGGGCATGTGCCTGAGGTGCAGGTCTCACCTCTCTCTCTATCTGTCTCTCTCACTCTTTCTCTCTCTATCCCCCTTTTACTCTCTCAAAAAATCAATGGAAAAAATATCCTTGGGTGAGGGTTAACATAAAAAACCAAAGTCTATTTATGGATACTAAAATGTTAATGTCTTGAATTTCTATATGCCACAATATATTATTATTATTGTTATTTTAAAAAATACTTTAAAATATAATAATCTTGGCTTCTGAGTTGTGCAAAACAAGACAGCAGGCCAGATTTGGCCCCCAAGTTGTAGTTTGCTGATCCTTGGTCTAGTTAATATCTTTTAAGTTTCTTCCAAATCTAAAAAAAAACCCAAAACCTATTAAGACACTTGTAATCTCTTCCTGAATCTCCACATTTACCTTTGAATGTATTCTGGCATGGATACTTATACTTAAATTTATAAAGGAACCTAAAATTCTTTGTGACTTGTTTTTGTGTCCTTCCTGTGGTAAGCAACAAATTAGAAACTTTAAAATGATCATTTTTTTGGAATTAGGTACATCTGTTCCTCTGGAATGAAGTAAGAGATATTTACGGACCTCTTGTTTTACTTTATGTATAGACATGAAATTTTTGTTTTCAGTCGAAACAGTCTTTCTTAGAGAATGTTTGCCTACCAAAGACATCAGAATTTATCTGGGTGATTGGTTAAAAGTAAAGATTTCTATCGTCTTCCTCAAATCTTCTGAATCAGAAACCCTAGGAATGCATTTAAAACAAGTTCTACTGGAGATTATATGAACACTAAATTTTCAAGATCAATCATTTAGTGAAACAAGTTAAGGGAGTTTTGGTACTAGTGAAAAGTTCCAACAACAGCAGGAAGCAGTATCATCAAATTTAATAAACAGCTTAAAGAACACTTGTGTTCACAATCTGTTCTTGCAGAACAATAGATTAGATTTGTATTTAGTTCTGTTTCCATTTAAAAAAAACTTTAAATTTGGGAATTGGTGTCAAGGCTGTAAATCAATATATTAACAAATCCTTTGTCCTGTTAGGGCTGTGTGAATCTCAGTCAGTACATAAAACTAGGCATTTTTCAACATTTATAGTAAGGGTAGTAATAGGCATAGTAGGACTTTGGTCTAGACTCGATTGCCAATCAATAGCATGACACAAGAAAATTAGTTCATTTCATTGGTGTTTCTTGAACGAGGAATTTGATATTTAGGGTCATTTGAGGTTTGATAAGAGCCCTAGTTTCTATTGGAGCACTATGTTGTAGGAATTTCATGAAAGAGTTAAAATAATCAAAGATCCTCTCTTTTTTTTTTGCCTGGATTGTCAGGATCAGGGCTTCATCTCTCTCTGGTAAAAATCCAAGATCTATAGGTCAAAATGTGACAAAAGCAAAATGAGTGTCAGGCATTTATAGACTATTCAGAAATCCTAGGGATGCCTTACTATAGCACTATGTCTACTGACTTGAAGCTTGGATACCCAGCATCTTTGCAAAAACAGTCCTGCTTTTAACTTCTCTGAACCATATCACTGTTTATGTTGTTCTCAACCCATTAGAGAGCTTTGGAGAAGTCCATTTTGGAAATGAGAGCTTTCCTTATTTATTTTCAAGAACAAAGACAAAAATTTTACTTGGTTTTTCAAGACTTTGTCTTCTGGTGATTATGTTAAAATGTTCATTTTCCTCAGCCCGAGCTAAAGTTTTCATCTGCCTGTTTCCCAGAACAAAAAGGGATTCATCTCTGTTTGGTGTCTAAGGACAATAGATAGAAAAGACACTCTTCACTGATTTGGAACAATTTTTATAGTGGCAGCCACTTTCTGAGAAATAAAATATTATTGCTGTTTGTAAGTTTTGCGTATACAATCTTTTTATTGCTTTTCATTAGGGTTCCTGGAAGAGAGGTATAGAATTAAAGTGGACTTTAGTCCTTACATGAATTTTGCAAAACCAGTAAGGAGGCTAGGTTTGTCTCATTTTGCTTTTCTTCATGTTTTTTTAGCGTCTTTCCCCTCTGATTGTTGGTTCCTCCAGTGCTTGAGAATACATATTCTGAAAGTTACTACTGCCTTGTGAATTGGTAATGAAAAAAAAATTTGCTCTTAAAATAGGATTACAAACTTTCAATAGCCTGATTATGGTGACGGTTAGACATATTTACACATGTGTTGAAATTTGTACAACTATGCACCAAAAAAGTCAATTTTACTGTATGATATATTATTCAAAAGCAAAAAATTTTAAACAGTAAAAATAAGGATTATAGAGGACAATTATTAATGTTAGAATGTCACACTGCTCCAGAGAAGTGGGACCTATTATACTATCATTGTTCTCTCTCTTCTTCACCAAATCATGATACACAGTCCTGATCCTAGAATGAGAGTTTAAATGAACCAGGAAGTAGATCTAAGGGATCCAGGGCAAAAACTTGGATCTTCTTGTGTAGTAGTTAATAGTGATGTGTATCCAGTTCTGGCTTGGTAATGACCTCTGGTCCCTACATCCGTTGCTTATTTCATAATCACTATGTATCTATGATAAACCTTCAGGACATTTTCCCTATGAGTCTTCTTTATAAGCCTTTTAACTAATAATGGAACACTTAATCCAGGAAGAGAAAGAATCACTAAGAAACATTCCATAGAAATTACTTTCTCTACCACAGCTACATAAAGGAGATAAATAAGCCAGTAAAATGCATTAAGCATTAAGGAAACACAAACCAAATGAAAACTAAAAGGGAAAGAGACACATGCCTTTATTTTGCTTATAATAATTCCCTGCAAATTAACTCATATGCAGTGTTCAAGGAGCTTACGCAGATTATGTGACAAATATGTTGTGTATGTTTCTGTTGGAATGTGGTATCTGCAAAGGGTTTGAAGGTTTACTTCAAAGGACGTACTTTTTGTGTTTAAAAACACACATACAGACACCAAAATGTCTAACTCATCCTTACAAGATGCCAGCACTAGGGACTTGGCAAGACTGAGGGAATGTTTCATCCTTGATGTAGGGCTTTCTTAGTTGCCAGGAGACAGTGACTTCCTAGGCAGATGTCTGTCTGCTCATACTCCACACCAGCTGCCACCTCTTTCCTGAGCCAAACCCTTGTGCTTACATTATGCTAGGAAATCCCATAGATGCTTCTCCTGAAGTAATATTATTAATATTAATCATCTTGTCAATCTGTATTGAATATCATATTTTATCAATCCAGTAAAATAGATTATGCCAAAAGTGAGTGGATAGATAAGGAAATGCTTTTTTAAAATATAGTATTTGAAGAACTATTATATCCAAATGTATATGATAGGACTTTTTCCAAACAGGTTCTACTTTTGTTCAACCTTAAGCATAATAATAATATATCTAGATTGAGTAGTTCATATTAATTTAGAAACTACACTCTGTTGTATATGTATATATCCCAATATTAAGTACTTAGAAATTCAAGTACTTATAGACTAAGAAATCCTGGTCTCCCTGGATGTTATCCTAATACCACACACACACACACACACACACACACACACACACACACACCTGCAACTTGATGTTGGATGAATCTATAGTCCTTCTTCAGTGGCATAAAACATGATTAACATTAAAAAGACTAAGGTAGAGTTCCTGAATCAAGTTCTCCCCAGCTAGGGCTGGATATCTGGGATAATGCCTGACAAGCTTTGTTAGTACTACAGTAGAGACACCTAAGACTACCTAGGATGTTTAGAAATTCCTAGTATTTGCCAACTGTTCTGTTGATTCATTTTAAACTATCCAGTAACTGATATCCTCAAAAGAAGATAGGATTTTTTTCTGTTCAGAGAATAGACTGAAAACCTTATGTGCAACTGACTTGGTTTTTAATGGCTGAAGATCTTATGTGCAACTGCCTTGGGTTATATATCCTCTGCCTTGCTCAGTCCTACACCAGCAAAACAGATGCTTCCTAGTCCTCCAGGGGGGAATATTCTTACTCCTTCCAATATTGAATTTAAACTCAACCACCTCATTAGGAAATAGGAAATCATCACCATCAAGGCTAGTTTCAAAGTTTGGAGGCACTAGATCAGAGGTATCCAGCATACTATGCTTCTTTCCACCTCAGGGTCTTAACATATGTCATCTCCTCTGCCTGTTATCATTCTTCTTCCTCTTTAGCTATCTTACCAATCCTTTAGAGTTCAGCTTAGTTCAAATACTATGTCATTTTTAATTAATTTGCCTGTTCTAATCTTGCTCTCATTATGTAAGTTTGTAAGTTTTTTGTGTTATTTTTCTTGTGCTTGCTTTGTTTTTTACATACATAAGATTATTAATTTTGGGTAATTGACAGAAACCCAATTTTGTTAATCCCTTTTTGTGTTGCAGTATCAATACACCTAAGGATCTGGAGACACCCAGTACTTATTACACAATATTGTTTACTTAACTGTTCTGCATTGTATCCTAAGCTTTATAATAGCAAAATCATAGTAGGAGCTCAATAAATGTTTGTCTTTGAGTGAATAAATGACTGACTTAGGGAGTAAATGAGAAAAAGCTAGAAGAAAGACACAGAATAGAGAGCCAGGCAGAAAAGAAGACAGAAATTTAGGAGAATGCTTTATAGAGAGGGGAAAGAGAGAGAAGTGGAGAGAGGGAAGCAGAGAAAGGGATAGATAAAGTAGCAGAGGGAGAAAGAGAACTGGAAGAGCAGGAGAGCCAGCAGAGGAAAGGACTGGGGGCTCTGAGATAAGTGGTAGAGGTTTGGCTGCTTAGCAGTTGTATCACAGGAACTTAGCACTTCCTTTAAAATACTAATGAATCTTCCAGCACTTTTAAATCACTACAGAATCTTCTACACTATTAAACCACATTGAAATTTTGGGTTTCAAACCTCAAAGTTTATTTTTGAAGGCTTATTTTCCTAGAGAATTTTGAAGATCTTATCTGGGCACAAAGTAATTACTTAGATTTTAGGGGTTGTTTTGTGTGTGTGTGTGTGTGTGTGTGTGTGTGTGTGTGCGTGTGTGTGTGTGTGTGTTTTTGTCTTGTTTTTTAGTATTAGGGGTATCCAAATGACCAGTTCTCTCTGAAAAGTCTTTTGTCTTTTAAAGTATATCAGATTACCTTAGTCTTTCTTCTTTAAAAGATGAAGACCTGCCTCAAACATTATTGCAAAACTGTACTTGAAATCAGCACCTATTTTTATTATTTTGAACTATTTTGGTATTTCAATCAAAACCAATTTGGGGGTTTTGAAGTCTTAGTCAGGATGATGAACATAGGAACAATTAAAATCACAATTCTTCCTCCATTTTCTACCTGGGTAATACAGCTCTGTCTGAATACAAGGATAACTATTGTGCTCAGGGGCTGTCAAAGTAACTCTGGCCAAATAAAGGAATCTGGCAACATACATTCCTAGACAGAAATCAAAAGTTTGGTCCAAGGCATCAGAATTACTTGAGATGCTTGTTGTAAATGCATCTTTCAGGCTCCCATCCTAGACCTTGAATCAGAGTCATTCCACATGATTTCTGCATCCAGGGAAGAGAGACACCCCACCACCTTAAGGCCTTAGTACATTCAACCTTGATTTTACTGTATACTGTATGTGGCAGCTTCTAGGGCTATTCTTAGTACTTCTTAAGTATAGTATTTAGTTGGGTAAAATAAGGCCTATCTCCATAAAAAGTCAAATAATAGTAGAAGACAGCCTATGATTAATGTGCTGCAGGCTTGAATCAAGGATAATTTCATGAAGAAAACACAGGTTAAAAGTTTCTATGAGGCTCTGAACTCTTGTGTTCTGCCATTTGAACAATCTGAATCAAATCCAATGGTCTTAACTCAACATGTCTTCTATTTCTACATCCCTCAGAGTATCCAGGATGAAGGAGAAGATTAAAGAGAAACAAGAACAAAGAGAAACCATAAGCCAAGTCAAAGTCCAGGTGGCCAACCTACGGAAACAGGCTCTGCAGGAGCAGTTCAATGAATGGATTCTAGACCCTAAGGGAACGATTCCTATGAAAGTGGTAAGAAAGGGGGTGTCTGCGAAGGGTAGATGGGTTAGAAAATAAGAAGGTGATACTGAGTGGAGTACTAAAATCCTCCCTCTAAATTTTCAGTCCTGCTGACGTAAGTCAATTCTTGACACTAGTCCATGAGAGTACATTTCTTTAATTTTCTCTTGAGTGTTTTTAAAAATTTTAGCTAGAGTTCTAAAAATACATTGACTCTGGCTGAGGTTCCTAAAATCTTCATTACAGTGAGGCATAGCTTCCATTTGTTTTTTTTGTATATATGTAACTAATTACTTCTGTGGGCTAAGAGACTATCTTAGCTCCAGATGACATCTGTACTCTAAGAGTTAAATATTTTCTTTTAGGTATGTATATACAGATATGAGAATACTTACTGGTTAGATAAAATGATAAGCATATTTTTGGTTCAAAGTGAATTTTTTATTGGATTTTTTGGGGTGATATTGGTTAATAAATTTATATAGATTTCAGGTGTACAGTTCTATAATACATGTATATTGTATTGTGTGTTCACCACCCCAAGTCTCCTTCCATCACCATTTATTTATCTCCCTTTTCCCTCTAGTAATCACCATAGTGTTGTCTGTGTCTATGAGTTGTTTTGTTTTGTTTTTTTATATTTTATTTATTGATTTCAGAGAGGAAGGGAGAGGGAGAGAGACAGAAACATCAAGGATGAGAGAGAATCATTGATCCGCTGCCTCCTGCACAGCCCCACTGCGGGTGGAGCCTGAAACCTGGAATTGAATCTTGACCTCCTGGTTCATAGGTCAATGCTCAATCACTGAACCACACCAGCTTGGCTGGCTGAACAAGTTTTTAAAAAAATTATTATTAATCCCCTCACCTTTTTCATCCAGCCTCTCTACCACTACCCCCCACAGTGAATTATTAAAAATAGACCAAAGAAGATAAGCCCCAGACTGGGAGAAAATATTTGTAAAAGATATATCTGATAAAGGACTATTATCTAAAATATACAAAGAACTCTTAAAACTCAACAATAAGAAAACAAACAATCTATTAAAAATGGGTAGAAGACCTAAACTGACAATTCCCCAGAGATATCCAGATGGCAGATAAGCATATTAAAAAATGCTCCACAGCTCTAGCCAGTTTGGCTCAGTGAATAGAACGCTGGCCCATGGACTGAAAGGTCCTAAGATCAATTCTGATCAAGGACACGTACCGCTGGGGATCCAGCCTAATCCCAGGTGCTAGGCAGGGCTAGTGTGGGAGGCAACCAATTGATGTGTCTTTTTCACTGTCTCCCACCCTCCCTTCCACTCTCGCTAAAAATCAATGGAAAAATATCCTCGGGTGAGGATTAACAACAACAAAAAAGATGCTCCATATATGTTATCAGGGAAATGCAAAGTAAAACAACAATAAGGCCCAGCCAGCATGGCTCAGTGGTTGAGTGTTGACCTATGAACCAGGAGGTCACGGTGTGATTCCCAGTCAGGCCATATGCCCGGGTTGCAGGCTCTATCCCCAGTGGAATGTATTCAGGAGACAGCCAATCAATAATTCTTTCTCATCATTGATGTTTCTATCTCTCCCTTTCACTTCCTCTCTGAAATCAATAAAAATATATTTAAAACAAACAAACAAACAAACAAAAAACCAATGAGATACCACTACTCACCTATCAGAATGCCCAAATTCAAGAATACTGAGAACAATAAATGCTGACAAAGATGTGCAGCTATAGGAACTTTCATTCATTGTTGTGGAAATGCAAAATGCTACAGCCACTTTGGAAGACAGTTTGGCAGTTTCTTAGAAAACTGAACATAATCTTACCATATGATCCAGCCATCATATTCCTTGGTATATACCCAACGGAGTTAAAAACTTATGTCCATGCAAAAATATGCACATAGATGATTACAGCAGCTTTATGTATAATTGCCAAAATTTGGGAGCAACCAAGATGTCCTTTAGTAGGTGAGTGGATAAATAAACTGTGGTATATCCACAAAATGGAATGTTATTCAGTACTAGAAAGAAATTAGCTATTACACCATGAAAAGACATGGAGTAACCTTAAATGTATATTATTAGCTGAAAGAAGCCAACCTGAAAAGGCTACAAAACTGTATGATTCCAACTCTATGACAGTCTGGAAAAGTTAAAACTGCGGGGGTAGTAAAAAGATCAGTTTCCAGGAGTGAGAGGGGGAGGGAGGGATAAATAGGCAGAGCACAGAGGGTTTATAGGGTGGTAAAACAATTCTGTATGATGCCATAATGATGGATACATGTCATTATACATTTGTCAAAACCCATAGAATGTACAACACCAAGAATGATCCCAAATGTAGACGAAGAACTTAGGGTTATGATGTTTTCAATGAAGGTTTATTGATTGTAACAAATGGACCACTGTGGTAGGGGATGTTGATAATGGGGGAAGCTGTATACTATGTGGTAGTAGGCAGAGAGTATATGGGACTTCTCTATACTTTTTGCTCAATTGTTATGAACCTACAAATGCTCTAAAGAATAAAGTCTACTTTTAGGAGAAACCAAGATGGCGGCATAGGTAAACACCGGAAATTGCTGCCTCGCACAACCACTTCAAAAATACAACTAAAAGACAAAATGGACATCATCCAGAACCACAGGAAGGCTGGCTGAGTGGAAATTCTACAACTAGAAGGAAAGAGAAAAGCACACTGAGACTCAGAGGAGGTGCAGAAGTAAAGTGCAGAGGGTATGGAGGCACACGCAGAAGGGGCTGGCAACTGAGGACGCGGGTAGAGGGGAGACACAAGCTCCTGATGGCCCTGACTCCAGTTCCGGGCGAGTCTCTGGGGACCCAGACTCATACAGGGAGAAACTGGACTGCCTGGCAGCGGACAGAACTCGAGGGCGGCTTTCTCTCACAGGTGCTTGTAGCGATTACTGCGACACTGAGACCCGGGGCCTCTTAGGGCAGGACTGAGGATCAGCCATAGCTGTTTGCTC